CCAGTAGAGTGGTGGGGTTACTTGGCTGGTTCGGTGGTGCTGGCGTTTGTCGGCATGTTCGTGCAGTTTCGCGACCAGCGATCTCGGCAAGAGCAACCCGTCGCCTACGTTATCGCGTCCACACCGACCCATGGAAACCCGATTCGCCATGTCTAGGCCGCCTCAACACGACAAACTCAAACTAATATATACATCTATTTCATGTGGAGGTTCGACTGAAGAGGAAGTTGGGTCTGTGTCGTGTAGACCTTTCATGCGACTTGGCATTCGATGTAATCGCGCGATTTAACACAAACGATGCATGACAGCTCGATCCTCGCAACCATGAACATTGAACCTCAGGTCTAAAGGTGGTGTACCATGGTTTGGCCCAGAGGGTGCTTGATATTGCCTTCACGCTTCTATCTGATGGGCTCTATTCTCACAGTTTGCCTGGTCGGTGCTAAGATTGCTGTGATGTCATCAACGGGCATTGTCCGCTACTGCGCCAATCAAGGACATTTGATTGGTGTGACTTTTCGGTGTTGTGCATCTTACGTACTGTACTACTACTACTACTAGTACATTTCAGTAGGACACGCTTTACTTAAACGCACGTTTTAGATAAACTGTCCGAAACTGGCTGCTGCTCATGGACCTCTTAAAGTTCGAATGCGGTAAACGTACTTTAACGAAGCAGAATTCCTCAGCCAATGCTTTGCGCGGGCTGCGTGGGCCAAGGTCTCAATATAGATTTGGTTCAACATCATGAGCACGTCGGCCGATCTGGAGGTGGAGGACGCTTTGGCAGAAGCTCCGGTCGCGCAGCAGGACAGCCGCTACTTCTCGGAGGAGACATTCGAGTCCCTCCCGCTGTCTGAACCCACCCAGCGCGTGTTGAAGGAGCTCAACTTTGTCAAGATGACCAAGATTCAAGCCAAGTCGATCCGGCCGCTGTTGTGCGGCAGCGACTTGCTGGGTGCGGCCAAGACAGGTAGCGGAAAGACGTTGAGTTTCCTGATCCCGGCGGTGGAACTCTTGTACAAGGTCAAATTCACGGCGCGCAAGGGAACGGGGTGTATGGTGATCTCGCCGACGCGCGAGTTGGCGTTGCAGATCTACGGCGTTGTCAAGGAAATCACCAAGTACCACACGCAAACCCACGGCATTGTGATGGGCGGCGCGAACCGTCGTGCGGAAGCCGAGCGACTCGTCAAGGGCGTCAACATCTTGATCGCGACGCCCGGGCGATTGCTCGACCACTTGCAAAACACCAAGGGGTTTATCTACCACAACCTGCTCACGTTCGTGATTGACGAAGCCGATCGCATTCTGTCGATTGGTTTCGAAGAAGAAATGCGCCAGATCATCAAGTGCATCCCGAAGACGCGGCAAACGATGTTGTTTAGTGCAACGCAGACAAAAAAGGTCGAAGACTTGATCAAGGTATCGATGCAAGGCACTCCCGTCTACGTCGGCGTCGAAGATGACGCGAACTCGGAAGCCACCGTGCAGACGCTCGAGCAGGGGTACGATCGATATCGGTTGTCGCGTCTGTCGTCATTTCGTTCGTTTCTCTAGCTATGTCGTGACGCCGAGCGACAAGCGCTTCCTCCTTCTCTTCACATTCCTCAAGAAAAATCTCAACAAGAAGGTCATGGTGTTCTTTTCATCGTGCAATGCTGTCAAGTTTTACGGCGAGCTGCTCAACTACATCGACGTGCCGGTCCTGGATATCCACGGCAAGCAAAAGCAGAACAAGCGCACGACGACGTTTTTCCAGTTTTGCAGCGCCAAGAGCGGCATCCTGCTCTGCACGGACGTGGCCGCGCGCGGGTTGGACATCCCGGCCGTAGACTGGATCATCCAGTTCGATCCGCCGGATGATCCGAAGGAATATATCCATCGCGTCGGGCGAACGGCGCGTGGCGCGACCGGCGCCGGCAAAGCGCTGCTCATGCTGCTGCCCGAGGAACTCGGTTTCCTCAAGTACCTCAAGGCGGCCAAGGTGGGCCTGTCCGAGTACGACTTTCCGTCCAAGAAGATCGCGCAAGTCGAAGCGCAGCTCATGAAGCTTGTCGAGAAGACGTACTACCTGCACAAGTCGGCCAAAGAAGCGTACCGGAGTTATCTCCTCGCGTATGCCTCGCACGGCCTCAAAAACATCTTTGACGTCGGGACGTTGGACCTGCAAGCCGTCGCGAAATCCTTTGGACTTACCGTGCCGCCCAAGGTGACGCTGCCGGTCAAAACCGCTGGGAAGGACGGTAAGCGCAAGCGAGAAGATCGCGGTCGATATGACAAGAGCGGCCACCAGTTCAGCGCTGAAAACCCATACGGGAAGCGTGCCAAGAACGACACGCGGCAGTTCGCCCATTAGATTTCCTTGCCCCCGTAAACTCTTGTTCCTCCTAATTAACAGTTTTCGTCATGGGGTTGGTTGTTGGATGAGGACTCGACGGAAGCGGGACAAGTGGAGTGGCCATGGAAGACGGGATGGCGTTCCTCGGAGTGCTCCTGGGTGGATGGATGGAGGCGAATGGGATTTGCATGACTGGACTGCCGGGACGGAAGCGGTCGACGCGGTGAAACTTGGCGCATGTCGTGAGAAAGGAGGATTATGGACAACGTACTTCATGTTCAAGGAATAAATACAGCCGCGAGGAAGGGAGAATACATGCTCCAACCCGCGACAGACTTAGTGTAGAAACAAGGGTGGAGGGATGCCAAAGTACATCGCGCGAGATGGAATGGGGTTGATGGAACTGTCACCTTCCTCGGAAGGATCTTTGCATACGTTCAAGTCTCCCATGGGGAGTGGGGCGATCGCCGGTCGCGGCACCACGTGACGAGTCGTGTCGGGACTGGGGGCGTTGTGGGTCATCGTGTGAGCGACACGGCGGAGGTTTCTACAAACGGACGATCAGCACTTCAACGGAGAAATGGGGTGGACTAACGGAGTGGCCGGGCTGCGTAGATGCGATGGCGTCGATAAACGCGTCGCAAGCGACGTCTTGGACCGTGTAGCGATTGGTGATCGGACTGGAGAAGTGCTCGAGATCGCGACAAAGGCCATCAGACCGGAAGGGGCGGGACTATCCGCGATTCCTTTCGATGGAACAACCTCATCAGGGGGTGCCGCGACGCGCAGTTCGTCCTCCAAGGATCGGACGGCGGCGGGGTTGGCTATGATGCCTCCTCCTGCCTCGTTGTCTGCGTTCAAGATCAGTCGCGGGAACGTGCGCACTTTCGTTCGTTTCTTTTTCTTCGGTGCTCCTGGGCACTCAGCTTCCTTCTTCGTTCGAGGGGGACTGACATCGCCGATGGCTGCGGCGAGGCTCCGTCGGGCGGGAGATGTGGACGCCGTCTTCATATCACGATGCCTCAGAATTTGGTTCAAATGGGGTATCCGGACACCACCGTTTGCGCTTTGAATTTCTCGAAGTGTGGTTGGCTATAACTCAATTTGAAAATACCTATGTATACAAAATCAAAGTCAAAACCTGCATTCTGCTGACGATTCCGTAGAAGTCGAGTACTTTAATGAAGGGCAGAAGTTTCCAAGTTCAACAAATCTTTACTTTACCGGGGGGGGTGAACTGGACCTTTGCTCATGGGAAGTATGTTCAATGTACTGTAATGAAGTCAACCACAGAAACGTCGACGTGGCATACTTTATTGAAGGGTTATCGAAACATTTGTATACTATACAAATACCAAGGTTCTAACTGGATCTTTTGAAGCGACACCTTGAACCGAACGCAATGGACACTGGCGACGTAAGGCGACGTGATGCCCCATGAACCTGGCTACACATGACGCGGTCTCGATCCCTATCCTTGTAGAGCGAATTCAGTGCCGACGATGTTGTGCCCATCTCAAAGAACGTACGTGAGTTCGTTCTTGTTCTTGCGGTGGCGTGATGCGAACTTCACCAGGCAATCGAATCCACCTTGAAAGACACCGTGTACAACCGCAAAAAGGTGAACGACTGGACCAACTCGCTCGTTGCCATCGTACTGAGCGGTCTCCAAAACCTGAACAAGCCATTCAAGTACGCAGGTGTGTATGCCAAGCCATCCCCCCCTCGTCACGATGGCTTCCACGGATGTGTGTTGTCTGGCCCAGTCACTTGCTTGATCATGCAGAAGACCGGCGCGGGCGTGACGACCGCAGCAGCGTGTTACTGGGACCCTGTTGTCGACGGTATGTAGTGTCGTAATTGTCTTGCGATTCTCACGACGTTGCGTGCAGGAAATTGCACGGTGCTGTGGGAAAATAGCACGATTCAATGCGTTGTGACCGTGTACGGCGTGGCGATCTCGCCATCGGTGAGTAAACACGGCGAGCACTAGTCGACCGCCAGCATCTCGCCAAAAAGTCCTTGTACCATCTATCGTATGTCGTATGCCGTCTATTCAACGCGATGGGGTCGGTCAAAACTGCAGCAGCAAGTCCAAGCACGCCTGCGCGACTGGTTTGATCTCGACGGGCGTGGAAGTGACCAGCAGCTGCACCGTGGGCAGCATCAGTTTCATCTGGGCCTTGTACAATGCCTGCTTGTCATCGTTCAAAGTTGCAACGTACTCGAGCAGGTTTTGCAGCACAACGACGTGGCGGTGGACGAGTTCGGGGGACACATCTGGCATGCCAAGCACGGCCTGGACAGTCACCAACGGCTCTTGTTCCATCAAAACTTTGCACACCTACATGGCACGGTGGGAAGGCTTGAGATGTTTTGCATACCTCGCCGTACTGCGAGACCGTGGCCAGCGCGCCGGCCGCCGCCCGCGCAGTTTCGAAATCTTCTTCGCTCTCTTCAATGGACGAGAACGCGAGCCAGAGACGGGCTTTGTCGGGCTGGCAAAACACCGTCAGGACATCGTCGTGGGGCAGAAGGTTCGTGAGGCACTCGGTGGCGGCGCGGCGGACGAGATGGTGGTCCGAGAATTGTAGGTACTGGATGGCCGACAGCCCTTGGTCCGCGAGGATGCTACGCTAAGCTCAGACTCCAGCGAGGGTCGTACAGACGTACCGCGCTTTGGTCTCCATCGACACGGACGCGATGTTGGTCAGGGCCATCAATGCTTCAAACTGAAGCAGCGCCGAGTCGTGTTTATTTTGACAAAGCGCGCGCAGCGGCTGGACGGCCGAGAGCAACTGCGCCGACGGAATCAAGTTTGGGTTGGTCGTGATCAAAATCTTGGCGATGGCTTGCTGGGCTGGTTCGTTTTTGTAGGCATGGGGGAATAGCCCAGCCAAGAGCCCTCCCTGCACGAGCTTGCCGCGCATCTCGACGCTCTCGGTGGCATGCAACGCGCTGGTGGATGGCGGCGGTGTTTTGAGTTCGTGTAGTGGGGTTGAATAGAGACGATGACGATACCTTTGAATTGCGAGCTCGAGCACAGCAGAACTCTTGGTCTTGAGGAGCTGCACCAACGTCTTCACTGCGGTGGGGAGACCCAGGACGATCGCAAGACGGGCATGCACTTGCTGCGGGCTGTCACCATCGTCGAGTTCGGATTTTTGCTTGAGCGCGTGCTGGAGTTGTTCGTATTGGTCCGGCGTCATCTCACTGTTGGCCATCTTTTGTTTCTTCAAGTGTGACTCGGACGTGAGCAAGTGGTGCAGCGAGTACGCAATGCCGTACAGCATGTTGGACGGCGTGTCGGTCGGCGAGATGTGGAGGAGCGGCGCGAGCGCCTTGGGTCGTTTGACCTACCGTCCACTATTCGCCATCCGATCGAGAACAAACGAGCACGTACGAGCAGATCCTTGACCGACGTGAACGTTATAATATACGACAGCGCTTCGATCGAACGTTCTGCGGCCGTGGACCCGACCACCGATGGCCGCACACCAGTCTACGATGCATGTCAGCCACACGTTTCATGGTCATCGATCCGTACATTGTCAAGACGCTCGAGGAGATCCAAGACCGAGTCGACCATCATGTGGCCGGTCGGGGTCTCTGCTTCAAAGGTTTTTTCCACAATGTGCAGCTTGACTAGAGCCGCCACGGCCGTCGCTTGCAGTTTCAGGTGCTTATCGTCCATGTCGCATTGCATGAGCTTCCTAGCAAGAATATATCGATCGATCAGGTCAACTCGATGGTGCAAGTCTCCATGCCGCACCCCAATTCCACGCGCAGGTCGAGGGGAATGCAAGCGGCACCGGTGTCCGATCCTGTTGTATCGCCGCTCAGTGCATGACCGAATGAAGGGACGATCGTACCAGCGACGAACGCGACCAAGTCCATGACGAGTTCCTGATGCGCGAGCATGTTGGACGACCCCAGCAAGAGCGCTCCGAGGTGCTTGAAAAACGACGCTTGACTCTGGATGGCCACGCTTCCGAGTTTCGCATTGACGAGAAAGACACTGCAAAGGAGGACGGCGCCGGGGCTGGCGGCCGCCATCGACGACGCCCGCATGATGGGCAGGACACAATAGTCTTGTACCAGGCGTTCGATGTGGGTCTCCTTGCCTTCGAATGACGCAAGGACTTGGGAAAACAAGAGCGCGACGCGGGACACGGTTTTTTCCTCCAGCACGTCGGCGCGAGACAGGAGCAATGGGAAAATGCCCAATTCGTCCAGCGATGTGCGCACCTTCGCATGATCCTTGAGGTCCGTCAGCAACGTATCAAGAGCGGCGACTTGAAGCTGGACATGAGCACTTCGCAGCCCGTTCAGGACAGCGTCAAGCAGCAACCGTTGGGTGTTGGTCGGAAGGGAGGGGGAGTTTTCCTTGGGGTGGGCGAGGAAATAACCCACGAGAGCGCCGCACAGACCAATCACACCCACCTCCAAAACAAAGTCATCGGCACACGTGACGAGGGCGACTTGCGGCGGTTGGACAAACGTCGTTAAGATAGCCACATCGACCGCAGCTAAGACAGCGTTGCCGCATGTCGCGGTCATCTTGTGCAGCACACGCAGCGCGGCAGCACCCACCAAACGGTCTTCGCATGTGTACACGCATTTCCACAGCACAGACTCACCGCGTTGAGCAACGACGTCGCGGTACGTGCTCGAATCCTGCTTAGCGTCATCAGGGACAACAAAATTGGGGAGGACGTACCGAAGCATGCTCGAGGAAGCGCAATGGATCCAGGGATGGAGACTCGCGAAGAGATTTGAGCGCTTTACCGACACCGGATGTGTCAGCACGGGCGCGTTCCTGCAATTGACGCAACAGCAACGCGGCGGGTTTGTTTCCTGGATTGATCTGCAGCACGGCCTTGACGTCATGGGCAGATGCAGTCAATTGATCAGTTTCCATATAACCTTGTGCGCGGCGGAATAGAAGCTTTTCCATGACGGATTCCATGACTTGCGGCAATGCCATGGCTTGGTCACAGGTCGAGATAGTACCAGCAAAATCTCGGAGCTTCAGCTGACACATCGCAATGTTGCTCAGTAGCAGACTCTTCATGTCGACAGGTACAGCTGGGTACGCTAGCGCTGCCTGATAGCTAGCAAGTGCATCGGCCCACTTGCCTTGCGTAAAGAACGCCTTGCCCTCTTCCTTCTTTTGCTCCATCACCGACGGCGGCCGAAATTCAAATTGTGTCAACCCATCCAATCCGGATAAAAACAGAAAATAACACCCTCACGAAGTATTCACAAAAAATTCATGATAATTCTACTGTTGCCTCGTGGTCAGTACATCAACATTCATCGCGCTATTGATATATTCTGGCAAAATCCTCACGGAAGCGGTACAACACTAAAATGTGAGGGTAATTTCACTTTTACTCAGGGAGGATGCCGGGTAGTTTCATATTTTTTGGATTGTTACTGTCTATATTGAATATTACACTATCCAAATATCGATTTCTTGGTTATCCGGAGAGCAATTGTATTTTTGAATTCAACACAAGGCGAACGAGGATGGAGGGAACTCCATCTCGTCGGCCCGAAGATGCAGCAACATCCAAGCCGAAGGTGCTGTGGTCGTCGGCAAAAAAGGCCAAGCGGCAAAAGATGGATCGCTACATGAGTGCTGAAAAGGAGAACGCGACTGCTGCGGACAGAAACATAGCGACGTTGGATGTCCTCAACGAGGAAGACATTGTCCAGGTTGAAGCAAACCTCCACGGCGACTTTGACTCTATCAAGTTGCCACGGTGGTTGCGAAAACGCCGGGAGATGCTTGTACGTGCAGCTTTCTTTGTGCAAGCTCTCCGACACATTAATGTAGAAACACACGGCGGACCTGCAAGTCGCGCCATCCTCTCCACCTGCGTCGTCGATTCTGTTCTTCACAGCACCAGAACTAGCGCAAGCGGCCGCACCACCTCGCGATTACCGCATTCTAAGGCCCATCTCGCGCCCGCCCCCTCCCAACTTTCCCGAACGACAGACAGGCAGTGTTTTTGTGGACTACCCTCGTCGCGTTTCGTCCGTCTCGCGAGTGCTATTTCAAGCAGATACCCTCACAAAGGATGACTTTTACATCAACGTGCTGGCGACTCACCCATCCCAGTTGACCGTCGCATGCGCCACCTTGAAGGATGTCGTGATTTACCGCGCGATCAATGCTCGCCGGACCATGTCCACCCTACCCATAAAAGACAAGCTTCCATCGTCATCCACGTACATCTCGTCGCTTGCATGGACGTCCCCAAGTCACCTCGCCGTCGGGACCTCAGACGCCAACATCTACATTTACGACGTCTCCCATTCCGGCATATGCGTGCAGTCCATTGTGGGCGGCCACTCTGACCGGATCAGTTCGCTGGCATGGTCCGAGCCGAGTTCGATCTTGAGCTCTGGGTCCCGCGATGCCTCAATTGCTCATCACGACCTGCGACTTCGCCAGCCCACCCTTCCGATCCGATCTCAAGGACATGATCAAGAAGTGTGCGGACTCGCTTTTGCCGGCAACGGCACGTCCTTGGCCTCTGGGGGGAACGACAATGTGGTCAATATATGGGACCTCAAACAAGGTACTTGAAAATGTATAGCGCGGAAACCATGCGACCTGACGTCTTGATGTAATTGTAGTGCACAGACCGGTTCATCGGTTGATGGAGCACTCCGCCGCCGTGAAAGCGCTGGCGTGGTGTCCGTGGGAAGCATCGCTCTTGGCAAGTGGCGGAGGCACCGCTGACAAGTCAATCAAACTCTGGAACTCGAACACGGGCATGCTGTTGCAGTCAAAAGCCACGCACGCCCAGGTGTCTGCCTTGGTCTGGTCGTCTCCTCAGAGCGGAAACAAGTATAAAGAATTGCTCAGTGCACATGGGTTTCAATCTCCCGCGATGACGCTGTGGAGCTACCCTTCCATGCAAAAGATCCGTTCTTTTACTACCCGTTCTGGTACGTGCTCCATGAGGCGATGTTCTCGAGTGCTCATGATGGGACTCATAGGTCGGATCCTGAACCTCGCGTCCAATGGAAGCTCCCACGTCGTGTCATGGTGCTCGGAGGGAACGCTGCGGCAATGGGATTTGTTTCTCCCAACACCTCCCACGGCAGCAGGTCCACCTGGAAGCGGAGGGCTTCCACTTCGAACTGCACTAGCACGAGCTCCCACCACCGACGAGAACTCTCACCCTTAATAGCACATTCTTATGTAGAATCGCCATCCTGCCGTGGTCCATGCCGCGCCACATGGAGAAGACGACGAGGAATCCGCCGTGACCTCAGACGCATGAACCGGTTCAATTTTGTTTAAATTCCAACGTTATTTCGGCCTGCAGTGTTAAACGTCCTGCGTTTAAGCATTTAGACCGACTCTGTCTTGAACTCGGGATAAAACGCATGAGCGAGATTTGAAGCCGACTCTCCCACGAAACAATTTAAATGCATTCGAAACACGTGAAATCGTTTTTGTAATACATTTAAAATGTGCCTCGTTTCAAACTGCATTTTCGTGGACACTTGAGATGAGTGCCATGCACATCACGTGATGCAGTACTCGTTCATTCTGCAACCTTCCGCGACAGCAAGATGAACATCCTACCGCGACGTGTGCTCGACTGCAGCTTCGATCAACTGCTCTCCCTGCGCACCACGGGGCGGTATCTGTACGCTTCGCTAGCCGTGAACATGCTCCTTCAAGCGGGGTTCATGTCGTACAAGTTGGCAGAAACCATGTACACAAACGAATGGAGCGACATGGGGTTTGCGGGTCTCGTGGCCAGCTATACGATGTGGATAGTGATCTCGACGGCCGGAGGACTATTTGGCCTTTACTCGGCGCACCAGTTCGATTCCACAACGGCGTTGTACTGCCTCTATGCGTGGGTCGCGCTGGCGCTGTTTCAAACGGTCGAAGCGTTCGTTGCCATGGTTTTTCTCGCGCCCGATGTCCTGAACACGATGGACGCGACCGAGTCGTTGCTGTGGAACACGGCATCCCTCCTCGCGATCGAAGTGTTTTTCATTGGGTTCATCGCTGCGTACATCCAGCTGCTCGACTTGTGTGAACCTGGCAAGGCATTGCAAGCACAAGAAGGGAAACATCTCGTCGAGGAGGCCCTCCTGTCGCCCGTCGTGTCCAATCACGTAACGCCGTACGGGACCGAGTCGGCGGCCTTTGCGATTTAAACCTGCGAGTCCTCTCGATGTACGTTGTCAGGGTTTTCGAATGCAATGGTGCCATTGCTGGGAGACGTTGCATCCTACTTTGAGGAACGCACAACAGAGCACCAGGTCGAAGACTCCCGCTCTGTAGACGAGTGTTGCGGCGACGACTTTGTGGTGCTCGAGGGGGTAGGACTGAATGGTTTCCCCGCCGTTGAAATCGGCAAATGCTGTGGATGGTCGGTCGAACGGCGTTGGTTCATGTAGAGATGTTCAAAGCACACGCCACTTCTTCATGCAGTGTCCCTAAAATTCGATGCCTACGCTCGACCAATCATACTGATTTGAACGGCGGATGGAGATCGTCCGTGCTTATGATTGGCGGGATTTTCGATGCAAAATGACAGATGGGGGGGTTCGACGTGGCGCGTCCTACAACGGCGAGGAGGTGGCGCCATCAACTGGGGTTGCCGTCCGTCATTCAGCGCATGCTCCCTCGACAGATGCTTGATCAGTATGGTGCTGCAGCAGTGCACTGTCCATGATCTCGACACCGGCAACGCTTGACAGGACGGACGAGTTGTCTATGCACAGTGCAGTTGTCCAGGTCGCTGGCACGAGGCTTCGGATTTTCTCAAAGGGGGAGTCGAAAGCTTGAGCATGGAACCACTCCATCGCCCCCGTTTCTCCCTGGAGCTTCGCCCGCATTCGCGCGTCCTGTGGGTTGTAGCACTGCCATGTTGACCTGGTCAACTTGCGCGGCGGCGTGGGGACGTTCTCTCGAACATGATGGAAAAAACCGTTGGAACGTTCGAAAGGTCGCCCCTTCGAATTCCGAACGACAACACCGTGCTCATATGGTTGCATTGTCGCATTCTTGCCCGTTGACGTACCTCGGCCCTCCACCGCGTCATGGTCTTGACCACTTTAACGTCGCACGTCCAGTCGTATCTCCGCACTGGGTACATGGACACCCTGCACTCGTACCGGTCAACTGGGCGCTTCTTGCTGGCAATCATGGCCGGCAACATGGTGCTGCAGTCCGCGATCGTTGGGGTCCATGTTGTCCAGTCGGTTGCAACCACTCACAACGACAGTGGTGACTTGGGAGGCCAGTCCAATTGGCTACCGAGTTTGCTCCTCCTGTGCCAAATAGCGTGGGTAGTCGCGTCGACTGTGGGGGGCGTTGCGGGCTTCTGCGCAGCGTATCGATTTCATATTCCGTCCGCGACTCTGTGCCTGCGCTCGTGGATTGTGCTAGCATGTATCCAGGCTGCGCAATACCTGGCGCTTTGCGCTATGCTGGCTTCGCCCGAGCACCAAACCGACAAGGGACAGCTGAACGCGACGCTGGCGTGGGAATCGGTCGTGTTGATTGCGATTGAAGGCGTATTTGTGCTGTTTGTCCACAGCTACATCGTGGTGCTACAAGAATGGGAACGCCAGCGCACGAACGAGGATGGCGAAGGCATTTGCTTGGTCCCTCTGCACCCAGTCCAAGGACCCACGGACAATATGCCCACGTACGGCACCACGACGTGTACGTTATAGAAGTCTTAATCCAACATAGGAATCTAGTTGTAGCGAGTTGGCAGAGGTAGTAGCACAGTCCGGCCAAGTCGATGCGCGGTCACACTGTTGACAACGGGAGCTGCAATTGGTACGATAGCCGTTGCTGGATGGCGCCGTTCGGGCCAAATAGCCCTTGATCGCAAGTACTGCGAGGTAGTGGCAAAAACCGCATTTCGTGTAAATGTACTGTGAAAGGCGCTGGTGTTGGGCTGAGTGGTCATTCTGGGCAGCAGAACGAGCAGTGCCAACATGCCAACTGTAGCGCTTACGACGACAACGCGGAGAATGCACTCGGCGTTTTGATAGCCGCGGTTTCGACAGGGCAACTCAAGTAGAGCGCCGAGGCCACTAGCTGCGTTGTGTTAGGACACCAAGCCAGTCCAGTGACAACGGGACTTGTGGCGATGGCAACTGCCACGCATCATCTGGAGTACCGCCAAAGCGCTGCCAAGAATGGCAACAAGACTCGCGTGCCGTCGGCGGGTGGAATCTCGAAGGCATCGCGCAGGTCGTGGGTCGCTTTGGTTGCGCTGCAGTATTTTTGCACTTGACTACAGAAGTTCTACATAGTATTAGTATCCAGTTGCAAACACGATTGAAAATACTTGTAGTAATAATTTATCCAATCAAATTATTAGTAGTATTTTACGTATTTCACCACATTACATAGTTCCTGTGGTCACCGATAAACTTGGCTTTCTCCACGCGTGACCTATCGCAGCCAAGGTCAGGAAGACTCCTCCGACGGCGCATGGCACGTGTGCACTCCTGCTGGAGGATAAGAGGATTTGACTCGGTCGATCGTCTTGGGACGTCGCTGTGCCAGTGTCGATCTCGGTGAACCAAGAATCCGTCGGTATTTGTGCTCTGGCACAAAAAAATTCGTGCAGTTCGTGGAGGTGTGTATATTCGACATTGCTCTGTGTGCTGGAATTGGTGAAATACAGTCAGTGCCACGATGACAGCAGCAATGTGGAAATCGCATGCGGCCAAGGATGGATTGTCGATACCTCGTTCGCTGCTTCCGACTGTTGGTGGTCGCCAGCAGCCGCCTCGGTGAACGCCAAGGTCGCGCGTACAGTACGCTCGAGTCCTGCATCCTGATTCTCACACTCGACATCGCGCAGTACGTTTCTTTGTTTACAGCACGAGACAGCTTCATCCCAGGTTGACGCCGAGGTGGTGACGACGCGGCGACACGTTGCACATGTATGTCGCGCGCCCCCTTTGCGCCACGGCACTTCCTTCACATCGGCATCAGCTTGGTACGTCCGGATGAAGCTGCATTGCCTACCCGTCTTCAAGAGGCGCCTGATCAGAAGCGAGCCTTCCAACTAGGCACATTCCCTGACGCCCGCCGCCGGCGCTAGTTGCTTGTTCGACAACGTTTCACATCTCGTCCGGATAACCAAGATCTAAAGGAAGCACGGGGGTAGGGGATCATTGCTTTATTGAATTACTACGTTTAAATTTGAGATATCGGAAGACGAGAGTTACAATATCACTGTTCGTGGAAATATCGTCATGGCATTTATTTAAAAATCCGAGATCATCCGGATACGCAGGAAATATCTTGGGCGCATACATGATTTGGCAATCTTCTCTTCCCAGTCATTTGTGGATTTTCAGCGTCGGAGCAGGCATGAAGGGCCGAGGAGTGATGCTCGCGATGGCTGCCGCTGCCGCGTCTGCGCTCGACAAGAATGACATCCCGATTAAGTTTCGCGACTTCATTGCGCATGACAATACCCAGACTTGCTCGCAAGACATCCACTCGACGCCGTTCAATATGCAAGTGCGAGGTGTCAACCTCGGCGGGTGGCTCGTTCTCGAGCCGTGGCTCACCCCGACGTTGTTCTACCAGTTCCTTGGCACACAGGAGCGCTTTGGCGACAAGGCGCCGGAAAAGACGGGAATGGACCAGTACACATTCTGCTCGGCCCTTGGCCCTGTCGAAGCGAACCGTCAACTCCGCATCCACTGGAACCAGTGGGTGACGGAGAAGGACATTGCGGAGCTCGTCAGCTATGGCATTAACTCGTTGCGCATTCCCGTGGGAGATTGGATGTTCGTTCCGTATGGGCCGTACGTCGGGTGCACGGACGGGGCAATTGAACACCTCGACCGCGTGCTCGACTTGTGCAAGAAGTACGGGATCAACGCGCTCATCGACATCCATGGCCACATCGGCAGTCAGAACGGGTTCGACAACTCGGGTCGCGCGCATCAAGTCAAGTGGACGTCGATCGCGAGCACGCAGCCTGTGGGCACGACTACGTTTGAGCATTGGCCGATTCGATATGCCGAATGGGTATTCCTTGTGCTCGTCCTTCCTTCTTCTTGTTCACGACGTGCCGCATTAGGCCGGGACATTTGACCTGATCAACCACAACTACTCGTCGATCAACTACACAAACTTGAACCAGTCCCTTGAAGTCGTCACGCGCATCGTGAAGCGGTATGCCAAGCACCCGTCCGTGCTGGGGCTGCAACCGGTCAACGAGCCGTGGGAGCTGACCCCCATCAACATCCTCAAGAACTTTTACTGGGATTCGTACAAGCGCGTCAAGAACCTCGCTCCATCGTGGAAGTTTGTCGTGCACGACTCGTTCCGGTTCGGGCTCAACTACTGGGGCGACTTCATGAAGGGTTGCCCGGACATTGCGCTCGACACACACATCTACCAAGCGTGGATGAACCCGAGCTCGGCCGAAGACTACGGGTCGAACGCGTGCCAGCAAAAGTACACGATCTCGAGCATGGAAAACGCGCTGATGCCGGTGATCGTCGGCGAGTGGTCGCTCGCCACCGACAACTGCGCGATGTGGCTCAACGGGTTTAACGACAACCTGCCGGGGTTCCCCAAGGTCGAGTGCACGATGCAAGCATGTCCTGTTGAGAGCACGTACCTGGGGTACGGCTTCCCTGGCACCCCCCTTGACGTGACCAAGCCGATTCAAGGACCGTACGGCACGGGCACGTCCGGCCCGTCGTTTGGCAAGTGCCCCGTCAACAAGCACGACTCGTTTCCTGGCACGACGCTCAAGGAATTTACGACCAAACTGAACCGAAAAAAACTCAACGGGTTCCAGGTCGGCCACGGATGGTACTTTTGGAACTTCAAGACCGAACTCGACTTTACGTGGGACTTTTTGCAACTCGCCCGCGCCGGTGTCTTCCCCAAGAACGTGAGTCACTACGAACCGGACGAAGTCGACGACGCGTGCGTCCGCGAAGACAAGGGTCAGTTTATTTGCCAAGCCAAGCGCGGCGTCAAGCAATTCGAGCTCGAGAACGGTCTCAAGTATGCGTGCAACTGCCCGGGCGTCGACTGCTCAGACATCAATGAAAAATACGCCACTCTCATCGAACGGTGCGACTACGCGTACAACGCGTACTGGCACTTGGAGCGCGAGAAGGGCGCGACGTGCGATTTTGGCGGGTCCGCGCACCTTGTCAGTGTCGAAGGCACTGACGTGGAGAACGCCAACCCGCGCAACGTGGCCGTCTGGTCTTGGAACGATGACGCGTCGCCTTCGACGACAAAGAACGACGTGGCAGCGGGTGATGCCGGTGGCATGATCACGAGCGGGTTCATCGTGGGCGGCCTCTGCGGCATTCTGGTTACCCTCGTTGTCTTGAGCATTCAAAAACGCAATGGCGGCGGGTCCACCGACGGAGAGCGCATGCCGTTGATGAACAAGACGTCGTAAAAGATTATGCGCATCGTCCAGGGATGCGAAAAAATAATGACAATCGTACATCTCTCTACGTTGGCGTTCTCTGTGGTTGTAGTGACCTGAACCAGCTCATCGAATTGTGGCATCGTCAAAGCAATGCCGTCCGCCGCACCGCATCGACACCAACAGTCCTCCTGGCTTGGTCGTACCGATGCACCCGCCGCCGCAACTGAGGCCGATTCCAGACGGATCATCCTACGAGGAGGACAAGAAGTGCCATCACATCCTGCGCAGAATGGCACGTTTGGACAGGTAGTCGAGTACTTGTTCAATTAAATAGAATGTACCTACCATGCGAAATATGTCAAAGTTGGATGTAGTAGGATGGCTAGACTTGGATGGTGGCGACGGACGTGCTGCCGTACGCGATGGCAGGCACGTTCTTGACGACATGATTCAACTTGGACGAGCAAGTTGCGATGGCAGAGCCCTCATCGTGTCGGTCGACCTCGGCGCACGCTTGCAGGATGTGCATGTACAAGTAAACGTACACGAGAAAGAAGATTTCCGTGGTCAGGAGGGAAAGGGTGTTCCATTCAAACCCGGCCTGCCACACCGCGACAGAGCACGAGGATTCACACAGGACGCCAAACAGAACAACGCCTTCCACGACTTGGAACGCGATGAGGAGCCACCATCGCCGCAAGCACCACGACGCGGTTGGGATGTCCAAGTATACAGACGAGTACAGTCCGCAGGCGCCGCCGAGAGTGGTCACGACGATCCATCCAATGTAGCACGCCACCAACGCGAACACAGCGCTGTCGCTCCATCTGTCTTGGACAATCGTGCGTTCGAGCTTGACCACGAGAGTGACCACCTGCCACAGCATGACGAGGGCGAGGCTGCCGAGGATGTACCGACCCCCCGCACGGAGGAGGTACAGGATCTCGCGGTGTTTGTACAGGTCACTGGTTGCGGCGGCGGCGGTACGCATCTCTCGTGGATATCACTGAAGAAGAGTGGCGACGTTCTCCACCAGAACACCACCTGCGGGCGTGGGCCTTCAACCGCATCCAATAACGGAAGGTGAAACCGAAGCGGTACTCGGGTACAAATATCGAAATAATTTCGAAAAAAAGACCAGATTTTTGGGAATTCTTCGACTGTAACGCCGTTCGACGGTTTCGTGCCATTTCGACCTTCCGCGCGACATCCGCTCAAGAGTGCCGTGAACGCTTGGCCAGTCTGTGGAGAGCGAACACTGGCGTGCCTGGCAACGTTAACTGCAGTGTGTTATCCATTCAGCTATTGACTGCCACGGCGCACCTTGAACGACCACAATGGCTAGTCCTGCTTCCATGAGCCTACCACGGACCAACGTGATCGCCTCAGACTTCCGACTACGATGGAGTGCCTAAGCAACTACAGTCCGAGGTCCTTGTTCAACCACTTGCTCTACCGAAGTGTGGCCTCCACGACACCACAGTAGAACATCCTATCAAGGCACACTGCGATTCGTCGAGGACTTTGACAATATCATGGTGTGACGCTGACATTGTGTCTGCGTCAACGGCCAAGTTGTCGTCGTCGACGGCGTGGTGTTCCCAAAAGAAAACATGGCGGGGCGCCACTTGAAACTGAGTCAAATCACTCTTGCACACATCATGGTCTAGTCTCGCCTACCGAGCGTCACGAGGTCCACCACTCTTTGCACTACATTCATGGTACCATCCAGCACCACGGCCATCCAAGAAAGTTTTGTTGACAGCGAGATTCCTGGTAGCGGTGAGCCATGCCTTGAACATGATGTCCATGGTGGAGGTCGCGGCAAGGTTGTCGTCGCTGTCATTGTGGTGGGGGCAGCTGTGGAAGAACTGCTCTTACCGCTGAGGCACAACAACGACTATGACATGAGCATGTAGCAATCAGATTGTAACCCCCGTCTCGCTCGAGACCCCACTTCACCGCGTGTTATCAATTTGAACGACAAATTGGGCAATGCCGTTTGCATTCTCCAAACTTTCCAGGTCGCTCGTCATACATTGAACTGGGCCAGCCAACACGAGGGCAAGCACGACCGTTCATCCAATGCCGATGCCCATCTCTTAGCCTGCTGATCAAACCTGTTGTGTTGGGACTTCGTGACTGTGATGGCTGGTTTCGCATTCACCTGTGATGACAACCCTTTCGTTTTTGCGGTCACAAGTACGTGGTAGCTGAGATGACCGTGCTGCCACGATTAAAATGCGTCGATGACCAGAGCCATCGTAGGCGGTATCGCCTCCGTCACACTTTCTTCAAACTGCACAACGTGGTTTGCAATAACGAACAACATCACCGCCTTCGTAATGTTTCATGACATGTGGCCCCTCATCCGGTGGACTCGGTGTCCAAGGGGCGGGGAAGGGGGGGCGAATGGATTCCCTTTCCACGAGCTTCCACCAAGCAGTGGCATGAACCTTCCCACTCGAACGTGCATGTTGAACCAAGTTATTGAAATGCATCCAGTCAACCAGCACTCGAACGACCAACCCTCCATTGGACGCTTTTGCAAAACAATTCACATTCAACCCAAGAAAATATAATTGATACAAATATATATATTTATATTTCCCAAAGAACACATTTTGCTGAATAGTGCTCTTGCAATTCAATTGGATTGCATTCTCTTACAAGAATTGTACTAGTACTTCATTAGTACATACCTGTACATCGCTATAGAAGTATATACAACAATAGTCATAACAATGATAATAGTAACAGTAAATTGTTGCGAATCGGCATTGTTGCCGAGCGTCGAGCCGTTGTGAATTATAACATCACAAACACAAAAACAGTTGCGTGGAGGGAGGTATTCGCACGACTTTTGATATGAAATGCGGCTTGCCTGGTTCACGCTTCGAAGAACCAAACATTGCTAAAACTTCTCCAATTTTATTTGGTACTACCATGGAGTACAAGACGTGCGTTCTTGAGTGTATCGACGACCCGACAGCCTTCCCCCAGCTCGTTGCAGCCCCATCGTTCACAAAACCG